CCCCCCCCCCCCCCCCGGAAAATTAACCACGACACCTTAAGTTCTTGGTGTCATGGATACCGTTTTACTGGCTGGGCAAGTGCCTCGGCCTGGGGCTGCTCTACCTCCCCGGAGGAAACATACCTACCGTGCTTTTCGAGCGGGTGGTCGTCTGGGGCATGGACAACGCCCACCACGTCCTCAACAACCTCGTCGTGCCCAACGTCGTCGAGTTCGCCGTCTCCCTCCCGTGGCGCGTGCTGCTGGTGCTGTTCCCCACCATGCCCGCGCCCTCTTCCGGAAGCGGCAGCGGCGCGGCGAAGAAGAACAAGAAGGCCGGGCGGGGAGAGGGGCTGCGGAAGAAGCAAGCGGCGACAGGAGGAGGCATTACCTCCCAGCTGCAGCACCTCAACACTCCGACCAAGAAACGTTCCGCCGAGTCGACGCCGAAGAGAGCGGCTTCGGCGGGGGCACCGTCGATTCAGCACCAGACGCCCCCCCTCCCGGAGCGCGGCAGTCCGTCCAAGACGACACCGGTCGCCGCGAGGAACGGCGTCGCGAACGCCGGCTCGGATAGCAAGCACGGTGGCGGCGGCGCTTCGGCCCTCGTGGCGGAGCTTCTGGACGCGGACGTTGGCACCGGAGCGGCATTACGCGCCGATGGTGCCGCCGCCATCGCAACGCCGGTGCCGTTCGAAGATGACATCGCCACCAGCCCCGAAAGCGGCGGCAGTGGGAGGCGTGGCAGCGGCGGGCGCCCGTCGCGAAGGAGATCGTTCGGGGAGATCATCCGGTCTGTGGTGACGGGAAACTCGGAGGTTCGCTTGCGGGACCACCTGTTCGACTTTAGCACCGCTTCCCCGGCCCCTCCCGTGCCCAGCGGCGGCGGCGGAGGCGTCACCAAGCCCGCGACGCTGGCAGCAAGCAACGATCCGGTGGTCCCTAAGAAGGCGTCTCCGTCCGCCTCCACGATCCTGCCGACCGTCGTCAACGGCAATGGCAAACGGCATGCGAAGGAAAAGGTGGTGGTGGATGTTGTCATCCCTCCTCGATCGAGGCGCACGACGCGTCGACAGCCGTCCGAGTTCTCTGACCCCGTTACTGATGGCGGCGGCGGTGGCGGTGACGAGGCGGGCGGAGGTGGGTCGAGCGATGGTTCAAGCAGGGTTGGTCGCGAGGGTGTCCGTCGCAGAAACGGCGGGGCCGGGGCCGGGGCGGGAGCGTGGGCGACCGAGCGGGGGACACTGCGGGAGAGGAAGAACGCCTCCTCGTCGTCGTTATCTTCTTCGAGCGCTATTGTTTCGGCTCCAGACAGCAGCAGAAGCTCAGCCACTCGCTCCGCCAGAACAATCGCATACAGGAGGGGGGGCGCCGCGACGGCCGGTGTCGCACGCGTATTGCCTAGGGGCACGGGCACGAGGGCTGGTGCGGGCACCACGGCTTCTCCTTCTTCTTCTTCTGCTGCGGCGATCGTCAATTCCCGCGCGAAGCGGCTTGCGGAGTGGAGGAAAAAGCGGGTGGGCAGGGGGAGGGAGGAGCAAGCGGAGGAGTATCGCAGGAGCAACAATAATTTTGACGGCGGCGGGCGGGAGGGGAACGCGGCCACTCGAGGTGTCGTTGATGGTAGCGGCCGCGGCGGCGGCGAGGAGGAATCTGTAAGAAGTGCAGGAGGTGGCGCCAGGACGAGAGCCAACGCCTCCGCGTCGGCGCCGGCGAACAGCCAAAGCCGGAGGTTCAGGCACGTGGAGAGATTTCGTTCCGAGATGGCGAGGAACGGGTTCGGGGCCCCGCAGAATCCGCCGGAGGACGATGCAGCGGCAGCGGCAGGGGCGGGGGCGTCTCAGAGGCAGAGGCGTGTGCCTTTGGCGTCGAGCAGAACGAGCCGCGGCTAGCGCCGCACCGTTTTTCGTCGATTTCAGCAGTATAGCAGCAGGGTGTCGGGGGGGGGGGCGGGG